AGCATAAACCATCAAATCTGAAGCCCAGCAATGTTGGAAAACAAGTTGTGTTTTGTCCACAGAATTCTACATGCAGTATCAGAGCAAGGACTGGTGAATTTTAAGACTGGTTTTGCTCTTGCCTTTGAGTCTCCTAGGATGTTCCATTTGTGCACCACAGTACTTGTGTGTGAGGTAAAAGTGAGTACATGTCAGTCTGCAAGTATGCAGGTGCTTGGGCACATATGTGTATCCTGTTCGTGATCATGTGAGTATTCTAGTGTCTGTGTACGTATGTGCATATGACACACATTTTTCCAAACTGGTGCTCTCAACGTATTAGTGCTTTTTCCACTACAATGCTGAGAGCAGAAGAGAATAATGCTGTCGTGTCCAACACACTGCAAGTCAGAAAGGACTAAAGATGAGACTGCTTCTGGCACCTCTGAGAGTGTGAGGACAGGCCAACAGGCCAAGCAGCAGTGATTTTTCTTTTTCTTTTTCTTTTTTTTTCTTAAAAAAGGTTTCCTCTATCTCCCCTTTTCTCTTTCTTTCCTTCCTTTTTTTTTTTTTAATTTGTTCCAACAATCTCTGAACTTCACTGAGCGCTGAACACAATGCTACAAATTTTCTCAGTTTAATCCACCAAAAGACCATTCATTGTACTTACTACTCCTCTTTCCATTTTACAAATGTGAGAACTGTGATTCCAAATGATAACAGGGACAGCCAACATTAAAAGCTAGAGATCAGAAGATTCTCAAAACAACAAGCAATTTTCCCTAAGTACAAGGCACAGAGTTTGGAGCCAGGGGACCCAGACAGGATTATGGGGAATTTAGTTGACTGATAATGTCCTCTACTCTAAGAGTCAAGACAGGCTGCTTCCTAATGCAGGGAGTCACTGTGCAGATAAATGAGAGGCAACAGGCTTGCCTCAGAGCAAGGACTACCAGGAGCTCAGGAAAGGCTTTCTCCCCAAAATTCCATCAAAGAGCATGAAAAATGGTGCGGCTATTCTCCTTCTGGGTCACTTTTCCTGCTCATTGTCCTTTGACTTGTGGTCCTATCCTGTGCCCATTTGTCCCAGGCCCAAGTAGAGGGGTTCTAATTAGACTCCTAAGGCCTCCTCTGGCTATCCCTGAGCCCTGGAGATCTCTGAGGTTTATACTCAGTGATACAGGGGAGCCAGCCTAGGGACCAGGCCTTTGGATTCTGGCCCCAGTTTTGACAATGATTTGCTGTGTGTTCTTGGACTTAATTAGCCATCTCTCCACATCAGCTTGATGACCCACCTCAGGGTACTTTCAGCAAACCATGGCCTGGAATTCAGATCCAGTCCACCACTCATTATTGTACATAAAATTTTACCAGAAGTCACATATGTTTATTCATTCATATATTGTCTATGGCAGCTTGCATGGTACAATGGCAGAGTTGAGTAATTATAGTACAACAAAGACTTTAAGGGTCACTAAAATGAAAATATTTTCTGCCTTACCCTCTATAGAAAAATGTTGACCTGAACCACGAGTTAAAGATGAACCACAGCCACATGTGCCAACACACACTTTGTAAATCTCTATCAATAGGGAGATTCTATCATTTATCAGCCAAACCAGAATTCCTGATGAAATAGATGCTCTCAACAATTTCACCAAGGCAAGAGGAGGAAATCAGGGTTGTCCCAGGAGAAGCATAATGAAGAGCCATCCGTCTATAGAATACTACCTCTGTGGTAAGATGTTCACATGAGCAAAAGAGGCATCAGATCAAACTTAGATTGAGGTCAATATATTGAGTACCAATATACAGATTTCTCTCTGATGGCTCAAAACCCCCGCTGGGCCGTCTCTGGCTCCTGAAAGGGGAGACTCCATGTAGCTTCTCCACATTGTTGTGACCTCAACCCCATCACCCTTCACCACAGGGCAACTCAGCAATCAGCTGTTCCATATGTGGTGGGGATTCTTCCCAAAATATATACACAACAGCTTCTCTCTTCACGTAGTTATGCAGGTAGACAATATAGGGTGATACCCTGAATGACATTCTAAAACCCCAAATGCTCTGGAACAAAGTCATGTTTTCATAGTTATATAAAGTAATTTGGTGGTAAAACGGGCTGAGCTGTTCTGACACTATTTACAGTCTTAATCTATCCTACTTACTGTGAATGTGTGTAAGCTTTGCTGTAGAGATATTAGTACAGTGCACTTGACTATGGGGTGCTGCCCCAGAGCTTACTAGGGATGTTATAAAGTACATGGTATATGCAAATATTTTACCTTTTAAATTCCAAACATTGTGAATTTTGAAACATGTCTGATGCCATAAGCTTCAGATAAAGGTTTATGCACTTGGTACTGTACTAGTAAACACATATTGCACACAGGGGAAAGACACAGAAATGACCCCAAAGGTATATTATAGTGGTACCTTGGTTCACAAACTCAACTCTCTTTCTGAGATTCTGTTCACAGACATAAATGGACAAGAAGTGAATCAGATTTTCCCATAAAGGCAACACGTTGAACCTAATCATTGAATTTGATTCTGTTCTTGTCCAACTCAGTCCATAGCCACAATCATGGAAAGAATCAAGTTCACGAACTGAGGTACCACTGGATCTCACAACAGCTGGGATAAAATATACCACATTATTAATGACAAACTTACTAGTGCCAAGGTTTCTATTTTTCACCACTTTTATTGATACGTTATTGCTGCTCTAAAGGAGCGAGTGGGGGGCTTCAACTGACCCAAAGGATCGCAGGACACACTGACCTCCTCAAGGCCTGGCTTTGCCTGACTTGCAGCTGCATTCCTCATAGCTGGCACTTGTCTGGGTCGAACAGGACGCCCTCACTAAATTACTGACAACTGGATTACGAGTAAATGGAGTGAGTCACAGTTTATGAAAACACACATGTGACCACTACCATCTTCATGCAACTTAAACTGAATTCTTTCGACCGGCTTTCTCCTTTCCACTGGTTTTCTCTCTCCTACTTTCTCTTTCCTTCCCATTCTCTCTCTAACTTGCCTTACTTCTTGCCTCTATTTCTTGACCAAAGATGGGCAGAGCAAACAAGGATGGCAGAGAATGGAAGGAAGTGTGGTCCCAGCATGGCTATTAAGGCTCCTCTCGCAGGCTGCTTGCAGAGCTCTTTGGGGTCATGCAGAAAACTTGCAATGACTGAGAGTCTCTATTCTGCTCCAATGTGTCATCCTACTAGACTCTCTTTTAAGTCTCCTACCAAGTAATTCCAAAGTATAAACCCACCCACCGAAAATTAGCAGGCTGCAGAGGTATGACAGAGCACGACAGTCAGCGGACTCCGCTCAGCATAAAGCCGGGAGCCTTTCAGGAGCTCAGCTCTGGAGTTACGGCTTCATCTCCTTGCCCCAGGAGTCCTGGTGGGACCAATCATTTCAAGAACTCTAATAGAGGAAGTAACGTGGTAAGAGTTTCTCCCCGCTGTCTACTACAAAAGCCACGAGGCACACAAAGCTATTAAAATGCAGCTAGTAAGACTGGGTAACTGATTTTTTTTTTTCCATTTTACTCCATTTTAATTACTTCAAATGCAAATTTAAAAACAGATATTCAATCCAGCTATTAGAAAACCTTTAAGCATGTTTGGAATATGTGTATAAATCCACTTCTTTAACTGCGCATTTTACAAAATCTAAATACAGACTGCTATTTCCAGTGAAAATGTAGCATTTGAACTGAGATTTGGTATAAGTGGAAAATATACACTGGATTTTGAAAGCTTATAAAGAATGAAAACTATCTCACTAATAATTATTCCACTTACTTACATGTTGGAGTGATAATATTTTGAATACACTGGATTGAGTAAAATGTTACAAAATTAATTTTACTAATTTCTTGTGCCTTTTTAATGACTTCTAAAATTCATAAATTAGACATGGCTCACATTATGTTTACATTGGACTGTGCGATGACCTTAGACTCAATCCTCTGTACTGAAAAAATAAAAGATGGATTTATGTAAGCTTTACCTTAATAGTTTTGTTTAAAGAAAAAACCTCAACAGCTTCAATCTAAAAAGACCCAGAGTCCCTCCAAGGCTGCTGTGTGGGCTAGAACAAATCTGTGCACCACGTGAGATCAGTTCACAATGAGACGAGCAGGGAAAGTGGAAGAGGTGTTTAGAAACATATGCAATTTAGCACTGCTGTGACATTTTCAAATTGTAATTTGTAAAGGTACTGGTCTACAGTGAGTTAGGGGAGAGAGTGTTCCTTCCTCATAGGCAGTTTGAGTAGCACTGCTTTTCACTAGAAAGGGGTTCTATCTCATTAAGCTGGTATTAGAAACTCCAGTAATAGAGTTGCCCTGCAGGCTCATCTCCTTGTATATTTACAATGAACCTTTTTATAATGAACCCTCGATGGATTGAGAGCTTTCAAAGTGTCCCATAATATCTCATCCACTCTTCCAGACCATCACATACACTGTGACAACTCAAATGTCTTTCCATCCTCTGTCCATTATATTTTATTCACTCTTTAGGATCAGCTCACTGTCATGTCTTAGAAGCGATTTTAATTACCTTCCCTACCAATCAGCCCTTCCCAGGGTTTGTCTTTGACTAGTTAGCTCATCTCTCTGAACCTCTGTCTTTTTATCTGTAAAATATGCGTGGTAATGGCACCTCCCCAGTCGAGTTGTAAGCATTTAGTGTATAAAAGTGTTCTGTGTCTACTTTGTTCCAGCTCCTTAGGGAACCATGTGCATTGTGCTATGTTCTAATTGTTTATTTACACATCAGTCTCCTCCTCTAGGCCATGACCTCCACAGAGGCAGAAGCTGTGTTGGGTCATTTCTGCACATACAGGGCTCACCAGGAAAAGAAGCCCAGTGAATGGGGGATTAAAATATGTGAGTTAATAAAGTCCATTTCAGACCTAACCAGTAGGAAGAACAAGGGCTGTAAAGGTGTATTGTCATTATTTTCCAAACACCAAACCTTGGTAAAATGGCCTACCTGGTAGTAATGTGGCCAGAAGGTGCTAATGGCAAGTTCCGCCTTCACCCAGCCCTCGGTGACAACCCCAGACACATTCCAGACAGGGTTTCCCTGGGGTCCGCCATTGACCTTCACGTAGACGTTCAAAGCTCCGGGGCTGGAGCGGTCACGGCTGGAGAAGTAGTAATGAAAGTCGATGCAGTGGGTATCATTCTCCTTCAAGGTGGGCAGAAGAAGATGAGCCTTCTGGCCAGAGGCCCTCCCAGAGCTGTTCACCATCATGAAGGATCCTGGAGGCCCACAGTGAGAGTGGGAAGTAGAGACAGGAGAGAGAAAGAAAATCCTTCTGAAAATCAGTTACATCGACAAACATAGTGACCAGAGGAGTGGCTAGAAATAAAGCTACTTTAAGAGGAGGGTCTAACTAACTTTGAGAAAATCACATCTCCTCTCTAAATCCCTAATAGGAACTAAAAATCCCTATTCAACATTGCATTTTAAGAATTAAGACATGATACCATCTAGGAAATATTTTTACAAGGTAGACATCTATAAACGTACTAAAAAAAATTATGGGGCTGGGGATTTAGCTCAATGGTGCCGCCTCCTGTCTCTCAAATACAAGGTCCTAAATTCAATTCCCTGTACCAAAAAAAAAAAAACAAAAAACAAAAAAACATTATAACCAGTGGCTCCTGAAGGAAGCATGAAATAAAAACCGAGAGTTAATTGACTGCAACTCTGCAAGTGAAATGAGATGAAAATGGACTTATGCAAGCTTGGAATACTTCAGTGGAGGCAGAACTTCTACAATATGGGAGGTGGAACTGCTCCAACACATTCCACCTGGAATCCTGCATTTAGGATAGTGAACTGCTATTAAATCTTAAAGCATATAAAAGAGTATAGTCAAGTGAGAAATAAAGCCCTTGCAGAAATATGAGAACCTACTAGATGATGTTCATGAGGAATGGAAAGTAAGACTTCCTGGGCATTTACAGAGTACTAGGGTTGATGTTAGGTTTACTCTTTGTATATTTTTCAATTTAACCTTCAAATGACCCTGAGAGAGAGTAGCTATTCATCTTAACTAAAGATTAAATGACTTTCCTTGGGCTTCTTGGTCAGAAAAGGACGCAGATTCTTTGTAATTTTAAAGTTTATGTTACTATTACTATTTGCAGAAAACATAACTATAGTTACTAAGCATTACAAAAGCTCACGCGTGGAAAGAATGAGTTTCTTTTGCTCTGACAGATTAAATGGTTGATCACAGATCCCTGGATCCTTCCTTGGATCCAAGTCCTTTACCATTGACTTTGCTGCTCCTCCAAGAAGAAGCAGAGGATCTATCTCCATCTATTGTCTTTGGACTTCACAATTTGATTTGCTTTGGTCAACAGGATTCTATCAGAGGCTTAAAATGTGCCTGCCTACCTTGACTTGCCCTCTTGTACAATTCTCACCTTTCATAAGAAGAATGTGCCTCAGGTACTTGTTGCCCCTTTCAGCTTGGGATCAAGAATAAACACAGATGGAGGAGAGGGCAGGGGTATGGGGAAAAAATGAGAACCAAGACCTGTCATGTAAAGGTACAAGATCCCAGTGATGAATGTAACTGTACTGTATGCCTAAAAAGTACCAATAAACTCAATGAGAAGAAATTTTGTAAATAATTTTTTTTTAAGTGAAAGGGCCGGGGATTTAGCTCAGTGGTTCCGCCACCTGCCTCACGAGCACAAGGACCCAAGTTCAATCCCCGGTACAAATTAAAAAAAAAAAAAAGTGAAGAGCCAAGCCAGTCCACTCAAGCAGCTGGAAACACAGCCACACGACCAAGAGACTCAACACAGACCACTCAACCCTCTAATTAATGCACAGACCCATGACTGAGAATAAATGCTTATTCTTGTCTTCCACTGATTTCCCCTTGGATTGTTATGCTGCAAGACTGTGGTCACAACATACCACACTCCTAACAGGTGTAGCTAGTGCAAAAATGGGACTGACTGTCCAGAGACAGAGTCCTCACCACCACCACCACGTGTGGTAGACATAGCCTGGACAAACTAAGGTGTTCCAGGGAATTTCACAATCAACTAGAAGGGCTAAACTCTGAAACTTAAAGTCTTACAATTCTACCAAATAAACTGCATCATAAAACAACATAGCTAAGCTTGAATGACTCTAGGATGAATATTTTGCCTAGAAAACTACTGCCACTTTAAAGTCTCACTTTAACCATTAAATCTTCATTCAGAACAAAACTGTAAAACAACTTATCCCCAGCCAAGATGACCCATTTCAACAGATATAAATCACCCCCTTGCACCCTAATACCAGAAGAACTAACAGGCGCCATTTAATAAGTGTTTGGTAATTCATATCTTGTTGGGTTTTAGAAGGTACCACTCATTCACACCCTATCTTCTCTGAGTTGCAAGTGTGAATTTACAAACAGACACTGGCAAGCAATTGAGTTCAAAACCTCCATGTTATCACTCACAAAACTGGATTGCAGGAAGTATCTTATAGACCTGGGGCCAAATTAGTTTTCCTGTTATCCACCCCTCCCCCAGAAAACAGCATGAGGAGAAAGTGGGTGGACTGGACCCCATTCTAACCCTGTCCTGATTCCTAGGACAAAAACTGTACTATGAGGATGACTACTTAGTACAGTTGAGTGGGCTTGCACCAAACAGGAATCAATAAGAAGCAAGAGTGCAAAGACAGGGAAGCCTAAACTAAATGTCTTCATATTTTGATAATTTTCCCCATCATAAAATTCACCAGCCACTGGATATGAAACAACCATTTAAAAGAGAGTGAAGGATCTTATTTCATGACCTGGCTGTAACTTAGGCTAAGTGGAGAGACATCTGCAGGTCACACGTGTTACCTAATTATCATAACCTGGCCACCAGGCAGTGAAGAAGAAACTACCGAAGGGGGAACTGAGGCTCAGAGATATGACTGAGCCATCATCTAGGCCCATATCTGCCTGCTGTCCCATGTCCTACAAGGGTCCAGGTTTCCTTAGATGGATAAGTAATGACCCATAAGCCCCACAGTGGACGGGTGACTGCCCCTGCCCCTGAGTAGTGAGGCATCTTCCACGGGGAGAGAGGGGATGCAGCCTGAGAAGAAACATGTGTCTGGCTCCATTCTGGGTCCCTAGAGGCCCCTGTACACACTTCAGCTCCTGCCCTGCCAATTTTCAGCAGGTGCATATATATCCCAGATTTCTCACTACGCACAATAGAGAGGTGGGGGAGGTTTCCTTCCTCCAGCTCATGTCTCCATTTTTCCTCATCCTTCTTCAGCAGTGCAGGCTGATTGAGGAGGTAGGGTTTGCTCCATTCCACATGACTGCATGTACCACCTAGTGGATCATGTCCCCAACTACCCTTCATCCTTCGGTGGGGACATACAATTGAGTCTTAGTCAGCAGGACATACATACGATGTGTGCCTCTTCCAGGCCTGGACTGTAAAGGAACTTCCCTCCAATCGCCCCCAGCTTCCTTCATCATCTTGTCTCTTAAAAGGTGGTCCTCGGTCTAACAACTTCAGAATTACCTAAGAGCTTGTAAAAAAATAAGAATCTCAAACCCATCCCAAGCCTACTGAATCTGAATCTACCTGTTATTCAGATTCCTAGGTAATACGTATGCACGTTAAAACGTAAGAATCACTGCTCTAATCTCTTTTCCCATTTACCAGCTGAATGTTCAGGATTTCAAGAACCTAGGAGGCAGACAGATCCACAATAAAATGATCCTGGTTCCCTGAATGACCATGACTATCGTACAGGGTATCCACTTCTTTGAAATACTCATTTGGAGCTTTAAGTGAAAAATGAATAAACTTACTGAGTTACAGAGCCACTGAAATCTAGAAACTTCCTATTTTCACAGGTAGAATCATCATTATTATTTTGGCACCCTGGCAAGGCCCCCATTTCCTCCAAGTCTCTTTATTCAAGGAAATAAGAATTGAAATGATAGTCACTAAGCAAAGCTGCAAGATGCTCTAAATAGTGACATCATTAAGAGCAGTAACCCTAGGCGATGACTTGGAAGGCATTTGAAATTAGAACAGAATGCACAAGGACACAGAAACCAGAAGCTGTAGCAGCCATTAGCAAGTGTACTGCCTTTGGAGAGGGAGGTTGGGTCAGCTATAGCCCTTCCACCTCTAGCCTACCTTACAGAGGCCTGGTCATGTCCTCTAAAAAGGCAGACAGCCAAGTCTCCGAGTTGAGCACAGACTGCCATTTCCGAGACTGCTCAGGAGTGAAGGCTCTGTGCCGCGGCAGCTCTGTGGGGCCCTCTTTGATCAACAGGTTGGCATAATTAATACCATCCGGGGCTGTCAGTTTTCTGGAGATCAAAAACGAGCCAGTCATTATGCCAAGATCAGTCAAAAACAAGAAAGAGGAAGACTGTAAATACATTCTTTTCCCTTTGCCCTTAAAAAAAAAAAAAAACACTAACGTGATAAGGAACATGAAACAGCATTAGTTTCCTCATAGTTATTACACATAACACTGAAAATTGTGGAATTAAACCAGGAAGCACTCTCTGGCTGGCCATAAATTTTGCATTTTTTCCCCTCTGTGCATAATAGTGCCTTGATAAGCACCCCGTTACTGATGTGTTTATAACACAGATCCCCTTTTTGGAGGCAAAACGCTTCTCTGTAGCAGATGGCGGCTACTGTGTTTACACACGAGCACCTCAGGATTGCATTTCCTCACGTCGGCTGTAAAAAGAAAGTCCTAATTGAGTTTTTAATGGCTTTGCGCATTGTTCATTAAGATTACATGAGCATGCTCGGCAACTGGTAGCGGAGGGCCCGGAGCTCTAGGAATGCAAGGCGGTCCCTGCAGACAGGTGGCCCTGCCAGCTTCCAGCACCAGGACCTACATGAAGGCAGTGGATGGAGGCAGGGGCCCAAATGCTGCCAAAACCAAGCAGCTGTGGTGACATGAAAGGAGTTCCAGATCTGCAGTCAAGAAAGCTAACTCAATACCATTTCTGTCACTCTTTTATGTGACTTAGAGCAAATCAATAAATTCTCAGGACCTCAATTTCTAGGCCTATAAAATGGGGTAATGAAACCTGCACATCAAAAGGTTTCTGTCCATTTCCATTAATATTAAGTGAAAATCAATATTTGACTCAATAATTGTTAATTTTACAATAAATGGTCAGTAGCACACAACAGTAGGCCCAATGCAATTTACCACAGCTAATGTTTACGGAGAACCCACTCTTTGCCAGTCATTG